TCCAGATGGAAACATAAATATTTGTTATTCATTTTCACAAAATGTAGTTGTGTAAATCTTGAAACAGTGACAATAGAATTTAATATAATTAGGTGTGTATATCAAAATAAATGAGTTTTGTTTTATAGAGTCTATAAAAATATTCAACAGGAGTGAGATGCCTAAAAGTTCATTTTAATTGTTATAAACTTTGTGGAATAGTGAACAAGTTTTTCATATTTCATGTTTTTGGAATACTAATTTCATACAGGCAAATGAATGTAATTTGAATTGTAATGATTTTTTGGATAAACGAAATTCGCATATTTTTCAAAATTGGAACAGTCGAAAATCTTATTGAAATGAAATATGTCGGCTATGAATTTCTGAACATATCTACTGACAAGTTCGATAAATTCTTGTATGAAGTTTATTCCTTTCCCGTAAAGATTTCTGGGCAAATTCAACGATTCATTTATTTTTTATTTTAGGGGACCCACAAAGTATTAAAATTTGTTTTCAATTGAAATTCATCATCGATTGAGTATTAGAATAGGTCAAATAACATAAACCAATAACCAGATAACATATTTTCTTTCAAATACTATTTAAAAATGATATAAAGTTCATAACAATACATATATTTTTTGCTTTCTCAAACATATTTATATTTTTTTGAAACATTAAATAGGTAATATTTATACTGAAAGGTGATACGGAATAATGGATTTTGATTTCTATCACTGATATTCGAATTGAAATAGATTATGAAGTGAGTCAAATCTTGAAAAATTCATCTATGCAACGAATGAAAAAGGAGTTCATTTTGGATTATTCATGTCAAGAATTTATTTAATGCCCACACAGCAAAATAAACATGAATTCATCAAAATTGTAGTAACTGATTTGAAGAAACAGACGAATAAAAGTATATGGTAGTTTCAACTATATTTCATTTTCAACCCATTTCTCAGTATGTTTGATTCAATTCAATTGTTGAAACAAATAGGCAACAGGGACACAATTTTCATACTCTAGACGTGTCGTTGCTTTGAGAATAATGCTACCGGTTTCGATGGAATTCTGACGAATTTTCTACCGCCTTCGATTGTCGTATATAAACGCTACCTACGAGCATATCGATATAGTAAAGTTTCGCGGACAGTGCGATCTAATTAGGCGATATACATTTGAATAATAGTTGGAAGTTTTAGTTCGTGTTTCGTTGTAATAACAGTAAAATAAAGTTGACTAATTATCGTACAGTGTAGTCAAGTATTTTTAAACCCACAGGGAAAACGTAACACTACTGTTGAAACATGACAGCTGACAACACTTGACAGTTCAATAAAAGTGGAAAAGAAAATTAGTTCATCATAGATTAAAGGTACCAACATCAATTTGGTAACAATTACTATTTATCTTCCAAAGGTACAAAGGGTTTCTTTATAAAATAATACTGATTCATTAGTTGATTAGTCTTTGGTCAGGAGTTTTAGCTTACCTGCTGTAACTTGGTGTATCTGAATTTGTAATGAATACCATCCTTATAAGTCTATAATAGTTTGTTTCTTGTAAGCAGATACAATGGATGGAGATAAAAGCTTAATGACCCTAGCTTTAACCTACAAAGAATCCAAATAGATCAAGAAACAATGAAATAAAAACTGAAAAGTCGTTTGTAATGGTAGAAATATTAATAGCAACAAATTATTTACATGTACTAGTCAAAGTTACATATTATTTTTACATATTTCAGGTGAAGTGAGACCTATCCAGTATGCAGAACGAGTATATAGACAATTCTTTAATAATAAGGGTAAGGATGAGAGTGAAACTCACATTATTGAAATGAGTAATGAGTGCCACTTGCCACTTTACTTTCTAATAAAACAAGAAAAAAAGCTTTCAGTCGGACAGTCTACAAGAAAAGGAGGCTGTGGAATAATATAGCCAAAGAAATTAAAAATTCTGATGATTGCAATGTAACAAGTGGTTTGTGTGATTCAAACTATAGGAAAATGCTTCAGACCTATTGAACTAATGAAGAAAAGGTGCAGCAAAACGGAGAAGGTGCTGTGAATTGGCAATCTTTTCAATTTTTCGATTTCCATTTGATAACGGAGGCATTGATTTCACCACCCCAAGTTATAGGAACTATGGACAATATTGGGAATGGCGAGAATGTCATACAAAAGCCCACCCTGATTAAAAAATAACTCCCCGTGAAGATTGTCAGTTGACATCTAAATCATTGGCTCTACCACAAAAAAAACAAAAGGAATAGGAATAGAATGAAATGTTATTCAACCAATATCTTAGAGCAAGATTTAACTTGGATGGGGCATACAAGGAGGAAGAAAAAGAGATGGAGGTGGAGGGAATGAAAGTATTAAAAAGAGGAAAAGCAAAGCAATCAAGGCACTTGTAGCTGCTCTTGCAAATAAAGGACAAGACTGAGTATTTATAATTGGTTTATTTTTGATTAAATTTTCTCTTTGAATGTCTTTATATTACTTCAATGTGTATTAGAATATAGAATACATATAATTTACAGTGTTATTATTCCTAGAGTCCCTATATAATTGTCACTTGTTTTGTTGGAAGGGAAGTAATAACTTTTTGTACATTCAAATACATTATTTGAACATTTCACTCATTGTTTTCCTACTTGTCTAAATAATGTGTTTTTCTCTGTGAGTAACAATACTAGCATAATCTATAAATATTATGAAGAAAGTTTTAGGAAAATATTACACATTACTATTATTTAGTTTCGAAATACGAAACATTTGAATGTTTTGAAATATTTTTAATTTATTTTTTATTTTAGGGGACCCACAAAGTATTAAAATTTGTTTTCAATTGAAATTCATCATCGATTGAGTATTAGAATAGGTCAAATAACATAAACCAATAACCAGATAACATATTTTCTTTCAAATACTATTTAAAAATTATATAAAGTTCATAACAATACATATATTTTTTGCTTTCTCAAACATATTTATATTTTTTTGAAACATTAAATAGGTAATATTTATACTGAAAGGTGATACGGAATAATGGATTTTGATTTCTATCACTGATATTCGAATTGAAATAGATTATGAAGTGAGTCAAATCTTGAAAAATTCATCTATGCAACGAATGAAAAAGGAGTTCATTTTGGATTATTCATGTCAAGAATTTATTTAATGCCCACACAGCAAAATAAACATGAATTCATCAAAATTGTAGTAACTGATTTGAAGAAACAGACGAATAAAAGTATATGGTAGTTTCAACTATATTTCATTTTCAACCCATTTCTCAGTATGTTTGATTCAATTCAATTGTTGAGACAAATAGGCAACAGGGACACAATTTTCATACTCTAGACGTGGCGTTGCTTTGAGAATAATGCTACCGGTTTCGATGGAATTCTGACGAATTTTCTACCGCCTTCGATTGTCGTATATAAACGCTACCTACGAGCATATCGATATAGTAAAGTTTCGCGGACAGTGCGATCTAATTAGGCGATATACATTTGAATAATAGTTGGAAGTTTTAGTTCGTGTTTCGTTGTAATAACAGTAAAATAAAGTTGACTAATTATCGTACAGTGTAGTCAAGTATTTTTAAACCCACAGGGAAAACGTAACACTACTGTTGAAACATGACAGCTGACAACACTTGACAGTTCAATAAAAGTGGAAAAGAAAATTAGTTCATCATAGATTAAAGGTACCAACATCAATTTGGTAACAATTACTATTTATCTTCCAAAGGTACAAAGGGTTTCTTTATAAAATAATACTGATTCATTAGTTGATTAGTCTTTGGTCAGGAGTTTTAGCTTACCTGCTGTAACTTGGTGTATCTGAATTTGTAATGAATACCATCCTTATAAGTCTATAATAGTTTGTTTCTTGTAAGCAGATACAATGGATGGAGATAAAAGCTTAATGACCCTAGCTTTAACCTACAATGAATTCAAATAGATCAAGAAACAATGAAATAAAAACTGAAAAGTCGTTTGTAATTGCAGAAATATTAATAGCAACATATTATTTACATGTACTAGTCAAAGTGGAATGGTAGACATAGCTCTTTTAATAGTACACCTGAGTTTGCGACATCGGGGGTTGCCGATCTTGTGGGTGATGAAAACTCTGCATCGCGACGCTTTAAGAGGAAATTGAGCTTTGTGGTAAATTCTGCCGAAAAGTTCAAATGAAATATATACAGGATAAAATGGTGCGTAATTTTGAATTCTACTTTTTTTTTGTCTACGACCAACAGTTTCCGCTCTACGACGCGTCAAAGTTGGGGGTTGATGTTCAACAAAATGAGTATTTCAGCGCGGATTAAAACGAAGGTCGCTGTGAAATAGTTATGTATTTTTTTTCCAAAAGGGTAATGATTTCTGAGTCTGCAGATGTCCGATTTGATATGTTATGGTGGTTTGAAGCGCGCCTTTACATGCTCCTATATACACATTTTGTAATTATCAGAATCTACGGTCAATATTTCCTTATTGTTGTT